CGGTAGGTTATATTAGACACGGGAAGTTTTTGCTCGAATATAAAATAACCAAGCCACAGCCTTATTTGGATAATGTTTAATTTGTATTTCAGTAAACAAAATTAACGTGCTTTTCAGTTCATAAATTTTAATATGATAAGCAATCTTAAATTCGCGTAGGCTAATTATAAAAATAACTTAACTATGGAAACTTGGCCTTCGTAGTTGTAAATGGGCCTGTTTTATTCTGAACAAGAACTGAGGAGATAAATAAGAGAAGAACAATAACTTCTAAACAAGTAATTCATTTTACAGAAGTGATGGTATGAGCAATTTTAAACTGCATAAATCATAAAGCCAGTGGCATCCATTTTTTTATTTGTACATGTCCGTGTGTGTCGCTTGATCACGTAAAATCGTTAAAGCTCTCAAGCACATAAATGTTCGTACAAAGCCGACGTGCAATATCACCGCTATTATAACGTTTGAAAAGACGACTTAGGCTAATTATTAGGAAGTTAATTTGTTTATTATCAATTTATATAACTTCGCTGTCAGTAACTCCTACTTTATTGCTTGGGATGTAGGGCGATTAATGAATCTTAAAGGGCACAGAAGAAAGAAGCGTGGAGTGATTTAAGGTACTACCCCGGAATTTTCGTGGAGGGATTGAGGAAAAGCACAAAACCCTCAGTATGGATAGCCGGTCTCCGGTTCGTAATATGAAACCAGGGTCTCCCGAATATAAAGTGCTAACCACTCGGCACCGACGTTCGTGTTCTTAATATTGTAGTGGGAGCGTAATAATCTATGAAGACAATAACATTCACAAATTACACAATACAACGAAGGATGCGGTCAGAAAACTAAACATTTATTCAATCAGTTTATATTTTGTCGGTACATCCACATAGAAGCTTAGGCCTACCTTATAAATTGTTAGGATACTGCCTCGACCGAAAAGCGTTTCAATATGCAAGTGGACAAGTGAATGGATATCCATCGTGCAGCTACAATAACACTAACCATAACACAGTCATTCTATGCCACGGTCAGAAATGAAGATGATGCTGTTAATGTATAATAAGAACGACACACTAGACCAAAAAATTAAACATTCACACACGTCCTGCCTCGTCATGTGTTGACACTGAACATGAGTGTGTGTAATCAACTGACGTTTCGAAACTTGTGCTGATAGACAGCAAGCGAACTAAATCTAACTGTAAATGGGCCTGTAGGCATAAGTGCAGTATGTCATCCAATCCCCAAAACTAAAATAAAATTAACCAATATCATCGTCGCTGGAGCCGTCAGACCTGTTAGATGTGAGTAGCTGTGACTTAAGATAAAACTTGCAAGCCGAAATCTCTTATAACATGAACATTAAGCCCTACAAAGACACAAACCATGAGGAATCAGAGGCGTAGAATAATTTCATACCTAGGCCTATCATCAAATCGAGCCCTGATCATAACTAAACTTACTAACAGCCAACATGACGACCTAACTAACTAACTAACTAGATGGCTTACCGAACCCGAAGGTACATCACCGAACAAACCAAAGCCCTCCACCGGACCCTGTCCTGGGCCACCAACATCCAGTCTCCTTCGACTCTTATCTCCCATACATCCCGCCTGAGATTATCCTCCCATCTACGTCTAGGTCTCCCCAGCGGTCTCTTCCCCTCAGGTTTCCCAACCAATACCCGGTGCACACCTCTTGTCTCATCCATGCGCGCTACATGCCTCGCCCATCTCATTCTTCTCGACTTAATCACCCTGACAATATTGGGGGAGCAGTACAGATTTTACTTTAATTTTCAGGTTCTTAGAAACCAGACGGGAAGACAAAATATTTTGAACTGAGAAGTAGCAAGCATTTCCAGAATTTAATCTCCTCCTAACTTCCTCATGTGTGTCATTTTGATTTGTTATTGTTGTTCCAAGATATTTGAACTTTGTAACCCTTTCAAAGGACTTATTAGCTACCCTAAGATAATTTTGCCCGCCTGTCTGCTGATGACGAGATACTAACATGTACTTAGAACATGACGGCCTAGAAAAATTAAAGTCAACGTGACAACCCTCTATAGGTAGGGTTGGCCTGATTTCGACAGAGAGTCGGAACACTTATTGTGTGTCCAAACAAGTGCTATTTGTTCTGAGAATGTTTAGCGATGGCATGCAAACTACTTATAAATGTAGTATAGAATGAGATAGGCCTATATAATGGCTGTGAAAAGTGAGACGAAAGAGAGGTGATTTAAACCAAGTTCAGGCATCAAATAGATAGGAATGTTAATGACACACCGTTGCACATAAAACAGAAAATTCGTGCAATTGTAATTGAGCAAAGTGAAATAAGACAAGATTTGAAGCTGTGCAGTCATCAGGTAACGAAGTGTTGCAATGGTAATGTTGAAAATAAGATGGCTGTCTTTTGGGTTATAGCGCCGCGTAGTCTGCTAGATCGACGTTCATACTCGTTGCCGTGAGAACCTTGCTCTCACAATGACAAAAGGGTTTAAGTTAAACTTGAAAGTCACCAAAACAAGATGCAATGGCTATACGTTTTAACATTAATCGAAATAAATAAAATATTGGCTGCCCTAAGAATATGTGCATTGCTCTCGCCAACGCTTTGAATTAATTGGTGGAGTTGGATTGACCAGGTTACGGGAAGAAAATATTGGATTTTTTTTTCCTATGAAGGAACACACAAGCTCCAAACTACTCTGAGCCACGGATTGAGACCACAAAATTATAAACTTATATAGACCTGCTCATACATAAGCACTTAAGTTCAATCAGTTTTATTAATGCTTATTTTAAATTGTCACTCTTATTTCTATAAATACCTATAATCAAACCAACAAAACTTACACAGACAGAAAGGTAATATTAGATAATCTCCTTATGCACAAACTACTTGGAAGTTGTTTCGCAGAGTTCTGCTCGATATTTAGAGAAACGCTCTTTCAAACGATATGGTATACATCATACTATCCCTCAGGTAGGTTAAGGCCCTGTCGCGCTTTAGAGACAGCTATGCAGAAAGTCCATAAATTTGTCGGGCAGTTTTAAACCCTCTCTTCTACGTCTGAGACAAGTTAATCGTTCTGCAACGTCCGTAAATTGTCCACGGCGACCATCACCATCCCGATACTATGTTGTTATTATGTATGCCAACCACAATACAGAGACCTCTTTAACTCTTGGGTCGTTTCGAGTCAGTGAAGTAATCACACTTGTTGAATGGAGCAGCTCGTAAATGGTATTGTATTTTAACGGTTATTACAAAAAACAGCAGGCCTATTAACTGCCGTAACCATTTCGATGCTGAAGGATACCACGTAATACCCATTTTCATGACAGTGGACGTAAAAAAGCTCCACAATTAGGTCCTCCTTTAATAAAAAAGCTCATTACCTGATTTTACCCGCAGCAGTATAACTCTCCTCTCCCCCCGCTTCAGATACATACGATGTCCAACAGCATGAGATTTGTGCAATTGTGCTTGACAGGACGAGCTCAGTAATTAATTTCAGCATTCGAGTACTTTGAAGATGACATCCTTCTGGGACTTCATCGCTCTGATGATGGAATCTGTACTAACCTCTAAAAAATCGGTAAACTTCTACACGACGCAATATCCCAGAAGTTACCATCTTTATTCTCGATGCCATAAAAACCTGAAACCTCACTTCGAGTATTTCGTCAACAGAAATAAATTATTTTAAGCATATTAACCACAGTAGTTTGGCCAGAATTCTAACCTTACCTTGCACGCAGTAGCTTCATGTAGTGTTTACAATTATTTCCACTTATAATACTCTTCACGATGACCATCACATGCACGAATTAAAATTTGTCAAATACGGACGTCTGACAGACATACTTCAAACACACCCCATGAATTCCGTTTTCATCAAGGTATGATCGTGTAATATCAACATAAGCCAAGATGGCATAATGCACAGCCTATTTGATAATTTCCGATGCTAGATTAGAATGGCACGAAAGTCCAACATTCCACGGTACAATTCAATTCCCTCACGCGCCGCTCAGTGGCCACGTCTGAAAAATAGAAATGCAGGTTATAAAGTGCATACTTTAACATTGTGATAACATGTTGGGTGTTCAGAGGCGTCAATTCGGGGAAGAAATTCAACTATTCGGCAATCCGGGTGTCTCCAAAACGTTGTGGTTCTGCCTTCGCAGTTTTATTATGTTTAATTACCGTGAAAGAATCAAGTTCGTTATAAATACACTTTTATAAAGACAGGAAGCATGGCGGAATAAATAGTCTGCGTGTATATATTATATAGTAGAGACGATAAAACCTACAATTCTCTGACGGGATTCGAACCGAATACGAAGCAGTCGTCCCAATGATTACACCATAATGGGTAAAACAACAAATGCTCTGACATGTCGGTTGCATTAATTATGAGATTATAACTACTTACATAAAAGTGTCCTTGATAAGCTAACAGTCGCTCAGCTAATAAAAAAATTCCCTTTTATGTAACCCAGATGTTCATTGCCATGTTCACAAGGCTCAATGAAACTTTCTGCAATATGCTGGTTTTTATTGTGACGAGTTGATTAGTTGCTAACTCGACACCCATTCCCGAGGACAATTCATTTTCGGATGTCAGTAATGGCTTATACAGTATATTCACAGCTGCCCTTCATATCTAGAAGCCTTAAGGACAGGAATAATATTTATTACAAACTTTGGTACTGTATTTTCAACGCAGGTCTAATTCAGTTCCTTGAAGAATATTATCATGATTCCAGTCAAATACTCAGTAAAGCCTAACCGATCATTCAGGTTGTGACATCATGCTGCCAAGCCTATTACACAGTGGCAGTAATGGACAAACAATGAGGACCAGTAAATGATTAGATGCGGATGCCAAAATATATATGGAAAAAATCCTGACCCACTCGACCCTTGCTTCTAAAACTCCACAAGAGATAATCATAAACATTGATTAAAAATAAGGCAGCTAATTGGACAGCTTTTATTTACACTTAATAAACAATATTATAATTAACATTTCATTAGCATATGACAGTCTTTCTGGTTTGTTACATAAAAATTATATAAAAAAATCTCACGTTTCCTCTCTTTAACAAAAATTTGTAACATATTACATAATATTACATTTCAGGTCTTCATCAATTCTTAGGTTATTTCTCTACTTCTAAAAATCAGTCAAATCACTACAACTAAAATAAATACAATAATAACTAAACATCACGGCAAATTATCACTGATTTACTTCAAGTCTGACACATTTTCTAACCTCTTATTCTTGTTCAGCTTCCAAAGTTGAGGTTTGGGTCGTATCTGTAAAAAAATATTATAGATAATTAACATTTAACAATTTTACATCAATGAAAATGAAAAATGGTCTTCATTTTAGCTTAGAAGGAATTTATGTATAACACAGTGAAACACCAATAAAGTATCACATTAATGAAAAATTTAGAATAAAATACTTTACTACTCTCTGTTCAACTTGCTATATATGTATACAAAATTATCATGAAATTTCATTAAACGACAACTTGAAATAAAGATATATCAACATTTTGGTATGTTCAGCAAAATAAAAATGATGAATATCACTAAGTCACACAAGAAACACTATCCTTCAGTACTCCAATAATATATACAATAACATAAGATATGTGCAATTAAAAATTAAATCCGTGGCATAAGACCCCTCTGAGGGCCAAAGCAAACTAGCTGGATGCTGGCCTCACGTTCACATGCCTAAGCAGAGGTGAACGATCATCGAACCAGATATAGGGCGACGTGTGGTCAGCACGACGAACCCCCAGCCATTGCTAGCTTTCCTGACCGGATTACGCTACTCATTGTAGCTCCCCAATTTCCTCACGATGCTGGGTTGGCACCGGTCCCATACACTGGTCAAAAGCTCATGAGAAATTTCTTTCCCCGAGACTCGAACCAGCGCGCATTCCGTATCACCAGTCCGAAGCATGATGCCTCAGACCGCGCGGCTACGGCGCGGGACAAGATATGTGCAATACTCATAAAAAAAAAATTACTCGTGCTTGCTGTACGTGAAGATGCTGCAAATCCACAATTGGGACTAGGGCTGGTCGCCCATGAGCACACTGAAAAGGTACTTGACACTCAGATAAGTTTTTCAGAAGGACTTCACATTCCTCAGCATATAAGTGGTCACCAAACTTCACAGATCCTGAAACAGATACTCTAGAGTTACAATCTGCTTTAAAATAACGTCTCATAAAAGTAACAACTGGCTTTATTCATGGTTTGATGATTCTTCTTCTTCTATGGCTCTCCAGTCCATATTCAGTCCATGGCCTCCTCAATTCTCCTCTTCCATTCGGTCCTCTGTTAGGTCCGTCTGTCCGAGGCTTTGATTGAGGTTTCGAAACATCTTCCTTTTTACGGTACAAGGTTGTTAGCCTTGCGACCAACCCCCCAACCTGGAGGACCACTTACACAAAGACTTCATTACATTTTCACAGTTCACATTTCTTAGATAGATGACTCTAGGCAGACTGGGTTACTAAAGTGAATATAATGCAGCAGTTCAGTTCAAGTTCTTTCAAACTTAAATTCATAGAATTTACGGTATTTACAACAAATTTTCATTCTGTACATATCACCTGTCTGAGATGGTGTTCTACTTCTCAGTGGACTAAAACAAGATGTTGCTTTGCCTTACTGCTTTCCAATTGCTCTAGAATGTGCCATTAGGAGAGTAAAAAAGAAATGTGAAGAGTTGGAACCGAAGTTCCTAAATCAGATACTCATCTTTGTCGATGACATTAATTTTTTAGTAAGAATAAGAGACCCAATAAAAAAAGGTAACAAACCTAGTAACTGGCATAACTTTGGTATTGCTGCACACTTTTTGTCATGGCAGTTCTAATGACTGCTGTTTACTTTTGAAATCATAAACAAAGACCTGTTTCATCATACATTATGATAACTTTTGTAAAAAGTTTAATTAGTTTCTGTGCAGTCAAGCAAGTCAGAAGCCAGACAAGTGATTTCTGTTTTTGCATAAGTCATGGGACCTACTTCGCTGAAATTTGGCTACTTACTGACATACATAAAACACGTTATAAACTATGACCTGCAAGAAATAAAAGCCATCTAGTTTGACGCACAAGTTACATATAAATTCTAAGTAGACTGCAACAATTTCTCAAAAAATTTAACACCATTTTGCAGCAGAACTTTTAGGTTTAACTATTTAATAACAGAGATTTTCACGAGCTTCTAGCCTTGGCCTTGATGGCATGATAAGTTTGCCATGTTCATACATACAGTCACTCGGTATCACTTCGTTAGATTGGATTACTAACAATTTGTGCACCTAAACTTCATTTAGACCACCTACCTCTGCAAGCTTCAGAGCTGATGACCGACTGCAGAATGGTAGGCAGCCGAATTGCAACACCTCTTGTAGTCAGAATGGAATCAACCTGTTCCCTAATCATGCTCTCAAGAAAACCATTCAGTACTGAAAGTCCTCGACCATGCATCTATAAAACAGATATCATGTCCAGCATGTCAACATGGCTTGCAAGTTAATCAAGAACACCAAATTAGTTCATCCATACTAGATGAAGAGTGTCTGATAACAAAGTGATGAGCAAAATATCTGGACCTAAGACACAAGTGACATGAGATTGGGGAGAGGGGCATGGCTTTATGATGATGTGTTTCATAATCTGTACTTCAACTAATATTGTTTGCACGACCAAATCAACGAAAAACAAAAGGCAAGACAGGAAGGACATACTGGGGAGAAAAAATACACTATATTAGCAAGAAAACCCTCAAGTACCAAAATACATCAAATTGTATACCAAATTTTACTACATATAGGGTAGCTAAAAGAACTCTTAAGTAATTTCTCATAAGTATAACCAACCTCTCTTTCTTCCCGTGCCAGCAGACAAGCTGGAACACTTGTTATTTGTATGCTAGTATCATCTAATATTTCAAATTTAAGACCAAGTTTTTCAAAATCCTTTTGGAAACATGAAATAATTCTAACTTCTTTGTTGCTCATACATAAATTAATATGGGGATTCACATCCATTGTCTTGAATTCTGAATCACAGCCTTCAACAAGATAATCTGCAAAACAGGATAACAGACCTCTCATAATTAATAATAAACCTATCATAAATGTAAGGATGGAATAAGATTATCTACTGTCTACACAAACATTCCTAATGAATGACAATACAGTGAAGATTATAATATGCAAAGCCAGTTTGGTCAAGTATGTTAGACTAAGAAGCAGATCAATGAGCATGTTCAAGACAAATAAAGAATCGGAAATTCTGAAAGTATGTCTAAAATGGACATCAGTCATGGAAAGAAATGGTGCAGGAATAGCTAATGAACTAGCCAAAACACATTATTCTGATTAAATTGGAGAGCTTGTGGACTGTTCAAATACACTGAAAATCAGGGCAAATTACACAGAAAAATAAAGTGTGTGTAACTATTGTGTAAGCATTTTATCAGAACTTATGATAAAACTATCTAACATCAACCATATACACAAATGAAATATTACTCTAAGTGTACGAACCTTTCATCAGACTTTCAAGTCTAATGCGTTCGTGAACTGCATGCTGATCAAACAAGACAATCACATTCTGACTTTCTCCACTCCTTGGACCAACTACCGTCACAATAAATTTGTTATCCAACTGTCCCAGAACCTAGAGACAACAATCAGTATTGTTTCAGTCATTTATTGAACCTCAAGTCAGTCAAGCAGAAGGAGAAGCGAATGGGTAGCAGCTGTTCACATTCATGTTCACGTCTCTGAAGCATGTCTAGACAAGACGATTAATGGATAATATTCAGAAATTTGAGATGGATGGATGTAGGTGGAATGTTCATAACTCAGGAGTGACTGCATTCAAAATAGCTGTAAATTGCACTGAATATGTATAAAAAAGGAAACGTGTGTTGCCGAGTCTCTAAAGTTTTATATTATTTTGTGTGATGTGTTGTTTTGTTGTCTCTCATTGTTTTGTTGTGTCTTATTGTTTTGTTGCATCTTATTTTTTTTGTCTTATTGTTTTGTTGTGTCTTATTGTAGCTCCACTGCCACCGGGTAAAAACCCATTTGCAGTTAATAATAAATAATAATAATAAATAACAAATGACTGACTTGTTATAGGAACACTGTATTGGATAATGTCCATTATCTGAGGTATATTTGATATACAACATTTAAGGAGTTGGTTCTACTGTGGTCTTCAGATTATTACGATGCTGACTTTTTTATATCATTAGTGACATTGGTAAGAACTGAACCCAGGACTTTTTAAATGCTTGGCTACAATGCTAACCATAAGACCACTGTGGTGGCCCAGAAATGGTTTTACTTATAATTGTACTCACATAACATATTCAGTTTTCCTATTCCATAGTAGACAGCCATATGCACTTTGTCAACTGATAGACTGTTCTGATGAATACCAATTCTTTCGGTTTCCTAATGACTGCATTATAGAATCTTCTTTGCTCATGATTTCTGCCTCATTCCAAATGACCCTCACCCCATGAGTGTTCTACTATTTTGGACTTCAATATTTGTTGTTTGTGTTTGGTGATTCTAGTGTTAAGTGATCTTCCTGTCTCTCCTATATATATTTTTTCCTGCATTCCAATCTTGGGTTTAGTCTTCATGATTATACCTGTAGTGTAGTTTGTGGTCTGAATTCTGCATGTATTTTTAAATCTTCCCGATTCTGTAAACTTTTTCTGGTACCCTCTGGATGTACAATAATACCATAGTACCTTGTGTGGTTTCCAGACTGGTAGGCAAAACCCAGAAAAAAGCCGTACCAACAAGACACGACAATCAAACTCCTGAAGATAGGAGTACAGCCAACTCCAAAATGCTCATGTGTATCAAATATACCTAAATATACCTCACACAATGGACAATGGCTGACTAAGTTTTCCTAAAATGTCTGCCGTTATTCATCTTTTTTGCAATTATTATTGAGCAGAGTTTGGACAAGACACTTCTTCAAATAGTTCCAAAATGTAACAATAAGTTTCCTCTGAAGCCTAATAAAAATTAACAAAAATATCAAAATGTAGAAAACATTAAGTCACAGCCATTAGATATAAGTTTCTAATAACAAACCTTCAAATTTGAGAAGATGTCCTTACTAAAGGTGTATGGATAGATAACATTGTATACTTTCACTATACTCCTGGGAAGCTCCTCGATACAAGCATTTGGCACTTCTTTCTCACAATATTGCAACTGACAGTCTGAATCTGCTAGCAGCTTCTGCACCAAGTCCCTGCAATCTTCACAAAGCACAAGACTCTTACCATCTTTCCCATTCTACAAAGAATATCTGATTAAATTGTATTTAATTACAGTTCCTCTTATACGTATGTTAATCCTGTTAATTACACTGTAATTAATGAATTATTTATTTGAATTTACTTACTTGGTATTGCTATACTCATATTGTCTAATGTGTTCAATTAGTAGTCATCTAAATATGATACAAGGAAAATACGAATCTCTAAGATATTGCAATCTGAAGATCATCTGGTAGTTCAAATGGTTACAGCATTTGTCCATATGGAGTCTTCTTCAAGTCTGATTTCAATTACAATTTGTACCACATTATAAACAACCTAACACTTTTCACCAAGTTTCAAACAAAAATCAATGCACTTTCCATTTGACGTAGCAGGAACAAGTATAAAAACAGCAACAAATCTAAGTGGATACTTGTATTATAACATTGAGGAATATTATTTCTGCATTTCATATATGAACTTCAAAATGACATAAAAAAACAATCAGAACATCTTTAAAGGGACCACAAATTTTATGGAATTCTCAATAACTGTGTATTAACTTCAGCTATCTGCAGGCAAGCAGCGATCAAAGATGTACAACACACATTACAACACATGTAATATATATATATATATATATATATATGGTATTGCTCAAAACGTCCACACATTAATACTATGAATAATAACTATACTCTAAAACTTTCGTAATAATTAATACTTATAAACAGAGAACATGGAAAAATGTTCAGTAACATGAAACACAAATATGGCAGTCTTCTTTATAATCTGGTAGAAGTTTACTGACTTTCACAGGTGTTCATTGAAGCTTATGTAATGGTTACTCAATTTTATTCCAGATGCTAGCAAAATTAAATCATGGCATGGGGAAGATTAAAAATGTACAAAATTTCAGTTGGAAAAACCTGAAGGCAAGATATCTAGAAACACCCAGGCATAGATGCGAGGGCTTCATAAATAAAGTGTGTGAAAGGGTCGGGACTAGAGTCAACCGACTTACGACAGGGTCCTGTTCCAGGCCCTTGTAAACACAGTAATAATCCTGGATCCATAAAGATGTGTGCTTCAGTTTCTCAGGAATGGCTCTGCTCTGTGGAATTATTTAGTTAGCTATACCTGACAAAATTACATTATGAAAATTAATACAAAATCACATAAGTAAAGAATGAGCCGGGATAGCTCAGTCAGTATAGTGACTAGCTACGGGCTGGACGACCGGGGTTCGATCCCCGACGGGGGCAGAGGATTTTTCCTCTAGCCTCTGCATCCAGACCGGCTCTGGGGCCCACCCAGCCTCCTCTACAATGGGTACCGGGGGCCTTTCCCGGGGGTAAAGCCGGCCGGGGCGTGATGCTGACCACTCACCCCCATCTAGTGCCGAGGTCAAGAAAGAGAGGAGCTATACCTCCACTCACCCCAAGCGCCTGTATGGCACGTAGCGGGACAAACTTTACTTTACATAAGTAAAGAATGCCCATATTATTTCCAGTATGTGCAACAATAGAGCAATTGTTAGCCTCCAATGCACTCCTTTCACAACTCACAGATATAATTACTAGTTGAGGTTTTTACGATGGTAAAGATGTCAAAGGTGGTCTTCTGGTTTGTGATGCTGCATGGATTTGTAGGTGGGTACCAATGTTTCAGAAGAACATACTGCTTCCATCTTTAGGATGTCACAACCCAGAAGACCACTGGCAGTTTTGGACACGGTGCAGCCTACAAAATTATTGAAACATCTGAAGAATGTCACAATGAATGAAAGGTAAGTTTACTGGCAAATTGTATAAAAAGGCAAAAGTTATTTATGATAAAGCCATAGTAAAAACTACAATGATCTTGGCCTAGATACACACAGAAAATCTTACTTGTTCTCTTTGGTTCTTGTACATCTTTCCACTTGACGCTTGATAATTCATCCATTAAGCTGTAACTGTCTGTAACAATATTGCACAGCACCTGATGTGAAACAGGAGTCAAATTTTTCTCTTCTGATTCCTCATAGGATTTGTTCACACCCTTTCTTAAAACAGGTGACATCCCTTTGGGTAAGAACGCAAATCTTTTACTCATTGAATATAAATTTTGAGTCATCACATGGTTAGGTACAGCGTAGGATGTCAATCCACTTTCTACGTGAACAAAAAATATTTTACCCTTTGGATCCAATCTTTGTTCCCATTCTTTTGAACGTTTCATATCAACATCTTCTGCTGAATGGCTTATTTTTTCTATTTCCTTGCATACATTCATTCCAACAGTACTATTTTTAACTACGTCATCTTGTCCAACAACGGTAGCATAATTTTCTTGCTTGTTTGCGTCTGATCCTGCTATATTATTCATAATCCTGTCAAATGCTTCATTTAGATCTTGAGTGGAAACGGTATTAGACATATTTACTTCAGATAATATTAAATTGCTTTCATATGGTTCATGTGTACGTGTGGCAACATTCAGATTATGTTCCTCAGTGCAGTTTCTTTTTGCATGTGTATATGGGCAATCAACTTCACATCTTCGTTTTCTGTCCAACAGATTAGACTGCATTTCCCTTAATTTATTTCCATTTATCGCTAAACTTGCTGCAGGATAAACACATTCATTCAGTTTTATCTTTTGTTCAGCTTGGTGACATTCAATTTCACTTTCTGTAGTATTTATATCAGTCATCTGCCCACACGTAATTAAATCAGTATTTAACAATCCATTTTCACTTTCTCTGTCACAAATGTTGGCATTATTTGTTGATTTATTTGAATTGCACTGAGTTGATTCAGAAAATGAATGTGTTTCAGAGTGTTTACAAGAACTGCTTTCAGAATTAAAAATGTTCTGCCTTAAGGTTTGAGTACAATCATTTTCAATAAAGCTATTACTGCCCGGCACTCCTTGATTTGTGTTATTCCTTGATGGCAAGCGGTCATTTAAGAATGAACAGTGTAGTCCGCTAAATACATTTTCAGCATAAGACAGTGTGTCTTTTGTTAAAACAGATGTATCATTTGCCTTCACTAAACTGAAAGTTTCAGCATTAACATCATTTTTGACAGTCCTTGATAATGAGTCTTTAAAGAATGAGGAATTCTCTTGAGCACAACACATTTTTCCTACACTAGGCACTTCCTGTGTACTTTCATCATTCATACAGTTATGAGAAGTTAATGCTCCACAATGTTCAGTATTCTTCGGTGACAATTCTTTAGATGACAGTAATTGCCCATGTCCAGAAGATATCTTTTCCATTAATAGAAGCTCTGAAGCTTCTTCACGAATGCATTTATAATCACTTGATATTCTACATTTTATGGTGCTACTTGGTAAAGACCATTTAGAAAATAACTGTTCTTTTTCACAGGATATACTTTCAGAATTATTTTTGCCAGTATCATTAATTTGATTTGTTTCATTATTTGCATCTGAGTAATGGCTTTTTGAAACTTCTTGTACTATTGTACCTGTTGGTAATATTTTCTGTAGCATGTTAGTTTTCTCAACAGAATCAACATTTTCTGTCTCTGAAACATTATTTTCATTTCCTTCTGAATTTGCATTATTTTTATTACTAGCAGAATGAGAAATATAACAAATTTTTAATGTACTGATGACATCTGATAATGCAGCAGATGAATCTGTATATACTTTCTCACGATACACATTTTCAGAACTTGGTTCTTTACAAAAGTAATTATTCATTATGCCTATTGTTCTAGTTTCTACTTCATTCAAATCCTTCCCAAAAGGAACAAAAATGTCATCAGTTCCAACAGTCACATTTCCTTCCTCATTCTCACTAAATAACAATCCTGAACAGTACGCTTCTCTGTCAGCTTCCTTCCCATTAGAAGAAACTGCTAAGCTGTTCCGGGAACACAGGTTTCCTGAATCTTGATTACGAACTATGTTGCAATTATGCAAGGAGAGGTCAGAACTTGAATCACTGACTATAATTTTACAGTTGGGTGTTTGGTGAAGACATGAAAATGATGAGTTGCAGCTGCTACCAGAACTTGGAACAATAGTATCATTACTGCCTTCTATTATTTGAGGCATTTTTCCATCCACAGCTGTCTGCGAGATTTTACCATCCACTCTGTTCCTGCCTTCTTGCCTGTCAGGAGACAAGTATTCCACAGTCTTTTCCTGTCCTTCAAAGGATAAACAAGATCCTTCCAGCCGTTCTTTTGATAATGTATTCATCTTCCAATTTTCACACTTTGTAATTGAATAGCAAGTTTTTCGCTTCAAAGATTCTTCAGAACAGTTGTTATGAATATGTTGTGCATACATATCTTTTGGAATATTTGTAGGTTTAGAAAGTCTCTTATTTTCGGAACAATTTTTGTTAAAAGATGACATATTTATACGTCTCCTTTTTGCGAAGCACGGCTCCATTTCATTACCAGATTCAACATCCGCTTCACTGCCCGAACTGAAAATAATACTTTTTCCAAGTTGCTGTCTAGACACAGCGTAGTCCGATACAAACACCACTTGTGAAATTCCTCTTGCACAATCACTCGCATAGTGATTTTTCACAATTTCTGAATTCTGTATATTTTTCTTTCTTAATTTGCTTTTACATATCATATCTGAATTGCTGTCGAAAAGTTTTTTTATATCCATGCAGCCTAAGTGATGCCTCATTTCTAACTTAGGAGAAAATCTAAATGTAACAGCTCCTAAACTAGGTCTGTCACATTTACCTACGACATTCACATTGTGTAATGCACAGTCTGAACTACTGAGATGACTTAACATCTTCTGTGAATTGCCTTCAAAATTGTTGGGAAGGTTATGGTGAAAAACCATCTTATCAGTAGAATTAAAACCTACAGACTTATTACAGGCTTGTGTATTATGCGACTTCTCATGACAACTAAATGTCTTGGCTGCAGCGTGGTCATCCTGAAAATCTGTTTTGTGATAAATAGACAACATACCATTCTGTAGAGTACACTTACTCTTCTTGGCCTTTTCTCTTTCAAGGGTACACAGAAAATCAGAACTTGTGCAGTAGTCTCTTGAATAACTGTAATCTGTGCTGAAAGCCTTTGTGAAACGTCTATGTGCATTAATTTTGTGATGGATTAGTTTTAACCAATTGCACACTTCTTCGCTATTTTGGGCCAATGGAGACATGTCTCTTCCATCAGTACGTTTATCTGTTGCTTTAAGCGTAGAATGGTTGCGCTGCATACTGTTCCAGTGTTCCTTTACTTTACCAACATCATAAGTACTTGCAAGATCAAACATTTTAATACAGTTCCTCTCATTATTACAAGCTGCATGTGATGTCCTCACACACCTCTTTCGCACGTCAGACGTAGTGGTGGTAATGTTTGTTTCTCTCTTCTTCTGCTCATAATTATGAAAGTTATTATGTTGTTGAAACTGGACGCATTCCTCTACTTCTATGATCTCTTTGCGAGGAATGTTCAATTCATTACATAACGGCCCCCTATAACCAGAGGAAACGCATAAATTACTTCCATCTCTTCTCCTCAATGACTGACTTGGAAAACTAGGACTGCAATGACTGGTATTTCTTTGAAAGTTAAAGACGTCTCCTTCTGTTTTTTCAGTATTTTCATATTTTCTGACAGGTTTTGCGATACTTTCGTTGCTCAATGTTTCAGAAGCATCGTGCACTAAATGATTCATTTGTTGCTCATAATTACTACACTCCTTATAGTGTGTTTTGTTACACATTGTACTCAGATCTTGATTCATAGCCATTTTGTGTAGTAAACATTTCAAATGTGTTGGTATATGAGAACAAACTTCACCTTTAAGGAAATTTTCCTGAGCTGTTTCACAGTTATCAATTGCAACAGTCTTAAAACTTACATTAATATTAGGTTTGTCACACTCATTTGTAGTATCTACACACCTCTTCTGCGTTTCTGAAGTACTATAATACAGTTGTAAAGCATCCCATGCAGAATTTTTAAAAGGTATAGGAATTTCAATATTTGATAGACAATGAAAAGTTTCTCTAAACTTTGTAATTGGCGGAAGGTCAACATGTTTTGACTGATACTTTGGTTGTGTTCTGTGACTGATAAAATTCCTAAATCTTTCAACTGGATAAAGATCTGAATCTGTTCCAGTTAGCGTGCACTGTGGTGATAATTTTTCACAGTCAGATTCAATTAAAGGAGTTTCAAAAAGACAACTTCTTGACTTATTCAAATTTTTTCTTGCTATAAGTGTTTCATTTCTCTTCAAGACACCAGTCAATGACGTTATGCTTTGTTGAGTTATATTGTATATTTGTGAACTGGAGAAAGGATTTTCTGATTCACATTTATGCAATGTATGATTAGGAGTGAAGTCAGTGAGTACATTCTTATCACTTCTGTTAGCACTAGAATCCAACATTACTGTAACTTCAGACTCTACATCAATTTCTTCAAAGGTTAAAGTTGTATTTTGAAGACATATATCATCTTTGTAGCATGAATCTTCACTCTTCTCTCTTCTCTTAGCAGGCATGCCAAATAATGCTCGAGAGACATTCAGCATCTTCTTGTTCACAATTTCTGAAAGATTGCATATGTTCGACTCTTTTTCCCGATTTAGCATTTCAGTTGATTTAACATGTTGCGTCTTTAATTGTCCAAGGGCACATTCCTTCTCTAATTGCTCCATTTCCTTAAGAAGGGATGATATATTTTTACCATTGCTCTTTTCATTCTGAGAACAGATATTACTCCCTTGACTAAAAGACATGGAATATTCCTTTTCTAAGAATGTTCTTATGACTGACTCCATACACTGAAGAACTTTATCCCAGTTACAAAATTCAATAAGAGTCTTCTTTGGATCAAGACATATATCATATAGATGGTATGGACATTCAACATTCAATAAGTACACTGCGTATTTGTCCCGTTTCCTAGGAGAAGAGTATGCAAGCCACCGTCCAGTGGTTGTTTCCTTAGAAATGGGAATGTCACGTGATGTTATATTTGATTTCAAAATGAAGCTGTTACCCAACATAGAGTTTGCAAGCTTGTGAAACTTAGATTTCAGAACCAGCCTTTTATTCACATACACAAATTGCAAATTCTTTTGATGGTGAGCCTCTTTGCCAATGTAGCCACTTATTTTAAATTGATCTAATGTTGAGCTGACAGTAACAAGAGTCTGAGCAACAGTCTGACCAAAAAGGTATGAAAAAGCACTAATAGTGTCCGCAGATTTCCGAGTATGGAGAATTAAGTTTCCATCTGTATCATTCCGCAGACTGAATGAAATCTAGAAAACAAAAAAATCACATTAAGATTTGAGGTTTTCATGGTTGTGAAAACATAGATTGTTGTCTTATGGATTGTGACACTGTGTATTCTAGTTAAATGAAATGTACAATACAAGAAAACTTTATAAGTTCTACGAAAAACAGAAGTGGTAATAGTAACTGTGATGGTAGCAATCACAGTTGTAAAAGAGCAATCACCAACTGTGTGCCCAGTTCATATGCAAGGTCTTCAAACATAACACAGTTCTGAGTTGTATTGGAAACAAACTTATACTTTTACACAACACTTAACCTTTTGTGTCATCCACAATTATCACATTTTATCAAGCATGTTAGAACAAACAGCAAAAGACTTTCAATCTGTACTCAGGAGATGCCAAGACACCAAATGTCCTTATATTCATTCATGGTTTTCCTCAGTCTCTCCAGTATAATTCCAGGAGAGTACTCTGAAATAGGCCACAGCCATATCATCTCTAATCCTTTCAAATTTAATTCCTCAAAAACTGGTATCTAACCTCTGCAGTTGATAAAGCAACATTCAATAACACACAGTCTGTTTTTAAGGAACAGAATTTAAAGGGTTTAAATCCACTCTCATCTTATAAAATATACAAGATGTCATAAAAAGTGTTTTCTTTCAGTTACAAGAGAGTATTTAGGAAATTAAGAGATCAACATTTATGTCAACAGCATATATAATATTCAGTCTTGGCATTAGTCCCTAAGAAGTATGCTGATTACTTCAATCCACCAACTTACATTCCTACTGTAATGACATATAGCTATTCACTATACAACTTTTTGAATTAGACGAAGATATTAGCAAAAATAATTCATTTTTATAGTTTGCAATTTTATGATCCTTAATGTCCTTCTCTTACTTATTTTAATTTAAAGTAACACCACGGTCCATTATAAGGCAATTTAATGAATTCTTCCCGGGCTACCAGCCGTGTAAGGTGGTTTAATGAACGAGGACGAGGGCAAAGATTAGTTCTTGAAACGTTAGTGTTTCCTTCGTTAAACCACCTTACACGGTTGGTAGTCCAAGAAGAATTCATTACACTTAGTTACCATATAAGCTTTAGATCATACATTATAAGGCAATGTTATTCAAGATAAAACTTAAACAACAGGTTATGAGGATGCTGCTACTTGCATTCAATTAAAATGCTAAAAATATTGAAAGAAAATAAAATTTCTTACACACAAGCCAAAATGTTTAAGGAGTCACTATAGCCAGATAAGAGGATTATAATACCTATCTCCCTCAGAGCTTACATTTACACAGCACACGCAAAGACCCCTGTGCAGCATGACCAAAACAACAAAAACACAGACCACAAAGAACAAAGGTAATATTCTTAAAAAAACTTCATCATTCAGCTCTAAATTATTTTGTCAATATAGTATATAATACTCCTCCAGGATAGGGGTTGGTCGCAAGGCCAACAACCTTGCACCGTAAAAAGGAAGATGTTTTGAAACCTCAATCAAAGCCTCGGACAGACGGGCCTAACAGAAGGCAGCGGAAGATAGGACTGAATGGAAGAGGAGAATTGAGGAGGCCATGGACCGAATACGGACCAGAGAGTCATAGAAGAAGAAGAAGTATCTAATACTAATGTGATATTTGTTAGAACAATTTTAAGCAGTTTAGAAGAATCCAAATTAATATATTTTATTTTTATGAATCTGTAACGTATTCACACATTCTACAGATACTTGCCTGTGGCTGCATGAGAGCAGTACATTCAATATGTGACTTTATTTCTTCCAGATCTATAGCACTTCGAATTCTTTGTCTTCTGACTGGCATATTATACATAAAGTCATGGACTGTGATTGTAGTTCCATGCTCAGGACGTACAGTCTTTGAAACTCCTGCCTTATGCGATTTACCATGGGTAAAGACTTTGCAGAATGTGATGTCACTACCCTTAGGTCTTGACTCCAGTGTCAGCAGTCCTGAAACTTCCCGCAGACTTGCTAATGCCTCTCCACGAAAACCAAACTGATCTAAGCGATTATGAAGATCCTCTATGGAATGACATTTACTAGTCATATACCTAAATTAACAACACAAAGATAAAGAAGTTCAGTTAAAATTTGAGCTTCATAAATTATTATGTAACACATTTTATTTAAAACTAAAACCCAAAATCAGAACATAAGGCAAGATACGAAGGTATAAATGCCAAATATATACATTATGATAAATAAATAAATATGAGACAATAGAATTCCTTCGACAGCATAAGAAATTATGATAGTGAACAAATTATCACTAGGCATTGACAGACAATCTTCTGCTTCCAGCTGCCTGTAGGTTAAAAATGTTAACATTCTGTCTACAATGGTAACTGTTTGTGCATTAATGACTCAGAATTCAAAACAGCAGACAAAACCAATTGCTCAGATGGCTAGATACTGACTTCTCACTGTGAAAACATGAGTTCAATCCCAGGTACCATTAAGTGAGATTCATGGTGAATGAAGTGGCAGGTTCTTCTCTGAATTCTTAAATTTTTTCCCAATAATCATCATTCCACCAATGCTCCATACTCATCTATCACTGAACCATGACATGTATAATAGCCTGACCAAGCAACACATTAACATAATTTCAGTCCTCAGTTAGGGGCTTCATCGCTTACCCAGCACTTGTCTGATCTCAGAGTAAGATAGTTTAGTTTATTCAAGACAGTGCTATGTGGTGTCACAAACCTCAATATGAGATGCAAAACAGCTGTTACAGTTGCGATCCCATGAAAGTCTCAGCTGCACAATTAATTAATTAATTAATTATTAATTGCCCAATTCAGCAATGTACTTATGTGTGTACTGTCCACCTATGTAAATTACCACTACTCAAGAGCTGTCAGACATAACTCAAAGATGTGCACTATAATCAGGTTTAAACTTTTAGCATACAGAAATAAAAATGCAGATTATAAAACTGTAAATGTTAAGTCAGTCCCTTGTCATTACAGTATGGTGCAATCCTCGGGTTGCTGATGAAGTACATGACGTCCAGATATGGCAGACAGCTGTGAACATACTGTATAAAATGTTTGACACAAGACCTCTGACTTGGCTGGATTTATTTGCATGACATACTTTGATTAAATTTAGTATTAGGGGGTCTATATTACAAGTTATCAAGCATTATTAATTTTAGTCCATTCAAGCTCATGCAACCCCTACTTCACACAAAGTTTAAATCAAAAATGCTGATTTTCTTTCAGAATGGCTCATAATATAAAAAACTAGCACAAGTCATAAAATATAGAACTCATTAACAGTACAGCTTTACTTGACACACATCTAATGTAAATACTTGAAAAAATACAATAAAAATAATTAATGACTTTAAGCAGTGTGATACATAATAAGTTTAGCTTCACAACATCGAGACTGCATCTATTCTAAAAGAACATCAAGGCTGATACAGAACATCATATTGCAATCTTACTTGGAGTACACCTTTTGACTCTTGTTTATTCTCAATCTGATATTATTTCAATCTAGTCTGTAACAATTTTCTTGTTCCATACTCACAGATGCAAACAAAACCAAAAACTAGTTGTGTGTTGAAAGTTGTACTGTAACACATTACACATAAATTAATTTTATTCTGTATTAACATCATGTCAGTCCCATTTACCTTGTTCCAACAAGGTCAAGATGTGCTGAGTTCATGCCACATCCATTATCTATAACTTGGATTTTGTGGAACTTAAAATTTATTCTAACAGCAATCAATGTGGCCCCTGCATCAACTGCATTAAACACCTGAAAATAACACACACTCAATTTCAACATATCATGCCAATTTAAAAAATATATCCCAACTAAAATTTTGTTTGCATTTCTTGCATCATGTATGAGTGTCAGGTTCACATTTCAAGACTTTTTTGGGCTGATTTGATGAAAAGTAGTACGTACTCACTGCCATGCAAATTGAATTTTTTTTACTAACTTGTCCTTATTACAAGTAGACTTAACAAAATGTTTCCATGTTCCAGTTTGGAAATCTCTGGCTTTGTAGTTTCAGCTTGTTTGAACACCAACAGCCATATATAAATAATCTTAGAAGTTCCTAATAGAGAACACAATGCATGTTTTATGCATGTGATAAAGTATTCATGTTAAACTGTAACACCACTCTTACCAGTTCATCTACACACTGGGCCACACTTGTAAAAACAACACCACTTCTCAACGCAGACTGCACTTCTGAAGATAATTTGCATATGGTCATTCTACATATATGAAACATAAAAGACAACCTAGTGTTAGTATTACTTACTATAAATACTGTCTTATATGTTAAATATATCTAAACAAAGCCAACACCAAATTTCCAACTGAAATATCACTAGGTTATGTGATATTTCCTTTCTTGCAAATCTCTGTCAAAACGATGTAATTTATATATGTATTATAAAAAACAAGTATTGCATTTTGGCTATGTAATGTTCTACACCCATGGCTTAGGACTATGAAGGATCTACGGAATGCAAATAAATTCTACTATATTATATTCATAGTTTCTGGTTCAGTATAACCGCTTGTAAGCCTGTTGCTATAGAAAACTCATATCATGTCGACACAACAGTAATAAATACAAAAGGATAACATTACAACTTAACCACATTACTATGGACGTGTATTTACAGGGTCCTTTACATAACCTTAACAGCAACTACAAAATAACAACAAAGAAAAATATCTACTATTATCATGTATTACAAAATGAGTTTCAATACCTTCCTCCGTTTTCCATTTCAATCTTATGTAGTTTATATTCTAGAAATGCGTATAAACATATATATATATATATTAAGATAAAATAACGCTAACAATAAACTCTTAGCACCACATTAAATTCTGCGTAGTCTACACTATAACCACAAGCGTAAACGCAGCGCTGTTCACTATGTGCTGCGCTCTCTGAACGATTTACAACTAAACACAACGGCTGTGCGACAGAAGCCCAGTAACGAAATGTAACCTAACCCAACCTAACCTCAACCAAACCTAACTCAATATAAACCAAACTAACCCAATTAAACTTAAATTTTGAAATGATACAGTGGAGACCTTGACATGAATTTGACCTATCCATTACTTGTACTTGAAAAACTCACCCACACAAGGTAAATGTATTATATTTTCACAGAATTAATTTACATGTTCTGCTGCTAAATATCCAGTGGTTGTTGCATAATGCTGTCTGTTGCTCCAAACTATGAACGCTGACAGAATTTTGCACAGAAATATATGCCACACCATAACCACTGGAAAGTAAAGGGATGTCAAATTGAAATATTTCATACGGAGCACTGATTTTATTGTTGAGATTTTGCTAGCACAGTACTAGTGTAGCTTTAACATTTGTGCCTAAAAGATTAGAAAACTTCATCAGAATTGTATTTCATTTTATTATTAAACATGAATCAAGGTACATCCAACTATTTCTTGGAGGTACCATTTAAGATTGATTGCTCTCTATAGTACATGAATTACAATATTCTAGACTCGTATCTTGTACTCTTTTCATATACAAACACACAATTCTGATATAATAAACTAAATGAAAACAAAATTCCATGCCATCAGCAAAACAACATTTAACTTTCAGGAACACCATTATATTTCTAATGAAACTGAACATAAACAATAATTTATTTTTATTAATTAAAGCATGCAATTAACTAAACATTCTGTCACAAAATAAACATCTTTCTGTAAAACATAACACAAAATATTAAGGTATTAATGAGGAACTCAATAATGACTTATTGATATTACATTGATCTTGAGACTTACATATATATTTGCATCATTTATTGAACACAAAAAAATCCCTGAATATGTTTTGTTTTGAATGTTTACTTAAACACAATCACACTGTATCATGCTGAATATATACAAGTATTAATTTTTCTTGAGCAAAGAATGGTGATGATGATTACAGTGGTAGTGGTGGTGGTGGTGGTGATGAACTTTCCTTGGACCTTCAAATTATTCTTGCAGTAAAGAATTGTAGGTTTGCAATTTATCTCACTAACCAATAAATAAATGTCTGTCAAAATTCAGTGGTCCCAAATGTGCACTAATACCTAGACGTATATTTTCTTTGAGCTATTCAAAAACAGGATCTAAATTGCATTTAAGTTACTCTAGCAATGAATGCACAGACTGTACTGAAACCTTTGCTTCTCTAACATCAAAACCAAATTGTACCTTATCAAGCAGGTGTACTTCAGTCCAAGACTATACCTGTTAAATCTTTAAATTAGCTGGAAAAAATATACATATATCAAACTTGTATCAACTTTGTTTAAATTAAGATTAATAACATTTTAATTTAATAATATCTTCAGAAAGTATTCTCTTGGAATTATGTATGCAAAAAAAAGAGATCCATATATTAAGAAATAGCAAAACAGGAACAAATTACTACTGTGCATAAGAAACACTGTAAGAACAAATAACTAATATTGTGTGTAACAAAAAAACAAAACAAAAAACAAAGCATGCACAGAAACAGAAACTTATTGTGAATCAATGACTGCTGGTTTAGCACTCCATACTGGAACTTATACATAAAACCCATTCTAACATTTCATATCTTCTCTTGGATTTTGTTTCAGTAACTGTAAACTGTTATGCAGTAAGTGAAAAGCTGTTCAGTTTTACACAGACTATTTGAACTGAACAAGAACTTACCTGCCAAACAGAAATGATCTTTAAGAATTCTGGTATCTAGCATCCTCACTTAAATACTGTATTATATGCTCTTCTTACATGAAAGGCAGCAGTGACTGCTGCACTGATGAAGACTGTTGATGTTGCATTAGTGGCTGCTGAGGACAATGATGTAGAGGCTCCTGGTAGTGCTGCATTAATGGTTGCGGTTGACAATGATTAAATGTTTCCTGAGGATGATGAATTAAAGGCTGCTGTGGATACAGCATCACTGACTGTGGCCGTTGCTGCAGCAATGAGTTCTGTTGTACAATGTCATTTTCTGGGTGCATTTTTGTATTTTGCAACTGGTTTTGATACTGATCAGATCTAGAAATGTTAAAACACATTAAACTACTTTTATTAACCCTGTAACATTTTTCATATGTGAAATATGATCATACATGGATAAAGTGTACCATTTAAAATCCAAACTCAACAACATTTGCATACTACAGTATAGAAATTAAACAAGCAGGTTGCCTTATGTAACACTCTCTTTCAACCTCCTCTGTAAGGCTGCTACTCATAGAAGGCGTGCAATAGCTATGCAGATGTAGAGGTGGTGTGTTCGCAAGCTGGACGTATGTTCGTTTTCAAACTTTATTTTGCTTCAAAATAGTTTCCTTCTGTTCATGAAGCATTCAGAATGTGTATCTTGGCAAGGAAATAACAAATAAGATAAGTATACACTGACTGGTAACAACATTTTGGAAATGCTTTCATACTGATTTGAAACAGTACATTAGCTGCAACAACAGGACATAATTGCAAAAATTCAATACTACCATTGGTTTCAACATTATGGGGGGGGGGTGTAGTAGTTAGGGTTGCATTTTAAATGGAACACCCAGCATAATATATATATAATATATACGAGGTGCACAGAATATCAGAAAGATTTTAACATATTTTCATAAGTCATATTAATATACAGTTAAGCAATTTAAGACATACATTATCATAAATCCTGGTGTGAAATCATAGGTCATGGTCTTTGATCAATTAAATTCCTTATTTACATGATTTGCCATCATGGCTAGATTTAACATTAATGCATACAAGACATTCCAAAACAGATTTTCTGAAACAGACTATGTATGTATGTATGTATATATGTATGTATCTATCTATACTAACTTTATAAGTACTGTGATCCTAGCAACAATGCCAAATCTCAGAAATGCTATGTACTGTTCTTAATAATGTTAAATATTACCTATTAGTCACTGTATGTGATATTTCCATTTGTGGCCTTATTGCCATAACACATGGGTATGGAGTATGATTTGGGCCCTTGCACTGCCTGAAAAATTACAATATATAAGCATGTTTCCAGAATGACCATGGTTCAAATTAAAGAAGAAAACAAGCAAAGTCAAACTTGTGAAATCTGAATACCATTTTCTCAGTATGCTCTTTTCCTGCATTCAGTACACAATTCATACAAACCATACAGCACACATGACACAGAAATTAAAAATATAATTTAAAATATCTTAAATATTTTTTTCTGAACAGGCTCTGACTGGCAAAAAACTGTTTTACGAGGGTCGCTCATTAAGTAATGCCCCACATTTTTTTTCTCAGCCAATAATGAAGATAGAAAAGTGCACTTTTACATGCTTGAGATTTGATGTTTCCCGCGTTCGTGTACGGAGTTTCAAATGATTCCAACCGATAGCGGAGCTGTAGTGAACTGTTAAAATGGCGTCTGTGAACGACTCTCGTTACAAACAACGAGCTGTAATTGAATTCTTTGTTGCTGAAAAAGAAACGGTGGGGAACATTCATAAACGTTTGTGTGCTGTGTATGGAAGCTGTGCAGTCGATAGGAGCA